CAAGTTACTCGCAGCTAGCTCCTCGTAGAGGTCCCTGCAAAGAGCCCAGGACAGCCTGCACTGCCTTCCTCCTGCATGTGGAGCTTTGCTCAGACTAAAAACAATGCTTGAGTGCAAGCACTCAAGGCAACAAATTATTATTCATGATACAGGTACGAGCAGAGCCACTCTGTGATGAAGGCTGGCATTTCACACTGATTTTCTGGCCACAGCTGTACTTGGCTCCTGCTTGAGCAGAAATTAAGATACCATTTAGGGTGATAGGCTATTGAAAAAAAAGGACGTATTTCAGAGTTGGCTACAATACCTAAAGCGCTTGTTGTACATCTACATACACCAACATCCCTCTGATTAACATCAATCAGGCTAACACTGCTAAGGATTCACCAGTGTTGCTAACTCCCATGCAGTATCTGTTGGACAACAAATGTGGAAACACAGTGGTCTTTGGAAACAAGCACAAAGTCATAAGAGTTTTCTGACAAGCCAGAGGATGACTTACCCTGGCAGCATGCTAAGGCTCACCCTGGCAGAGACACTTCAGGAATTTGCCAGTAGTTTGGCTATACCTCATTTAAAAAGAAAATGGGGTGAGGGGGAAAGGAGGGGAAGGCAAATGCTCAGCCCCAGCAGGCAGCCATTCCTCTCAACCCACTGCTAGGGCTGTGGAGAAGGAACCCACTCAAGGGACCTGCTGCATCTGTGAGTCTCTGAATTAAAAGTGGGGACAAAAAGACTGTGCATCCCTCATGCCAATCAATCCAGTAGGGATTTGCCAACAGAAGGATGGAGGGATTTCATATGGAGACCTCCTTTGGGGCAGCTGGGTCACTTGCTCTTCCTCCCTCCTTCTGGGAAGCTGCTGCTTATTGCTTCAGGGGGAACAACAGCAGGGCAAGGCTCAGCATGTCAGATGCATCATGCATGCCACTTGGAGACCCTGGCAAAGTTCATTCTTCTCTTGGCAAGTGTAGTTTAGACCATCCCTTTTTCCCCCAGCATAACCTAAGAGGGGCATCAACTGGCAAGTTCAACAGCTGGAGGCCTTACTTGACTACCTTCTCATGACTTGTGCTCATAGAAAACCTCTATTCTTCCGAGTCAACTACACTGGCTAAGAGCATTGTCCCCACTTCTGTGGAGATCCATCTCCATCCCCACAACCTGTCCTAGCTTTCAACCTTTTGGGGTGCCTACTCTTTTTCCTCCCACAATTAAGAGCACACCTGCAGTAGGAAGGCTGGCTGTTCCTTCTTGTCCACTTCTCTAGCTAGGAAAAGCTGCTATTATCTGTGATTTATCAACACAAATATGCCTCCCTCAAGTGAATTTGGGAATCATCAGCCACAAAAGGCAGATCTAAAATGGTGTTAAAGGAAGCTAATAAAGTTAGGCAAAGAGCTCAGCCTGGAGATGTGCTTCCCGTTCGAGCTGGGATGCCGAGAAAATCCTCAGAACCAAGCCTGGAGCTCTGCTCAGACTGAGAAAGGAACACGTGGCAGTGGCAGGAAACACGTACCTGGGAGTGGAGAAATGCACATGAAACTCTCCAGCTTTTTCAGTGTTCAAAAAAAAGTAAGAAAAAGAAAAAAGGATCCTTTGGAGCAGGAGGCGGGTAGGTAGGGCATGGTGGTCCAAGTCAGCTTCCAGTTTAGAAACAAGTATAAAGCATTTCAACGTTTCTGATGATCAGACTTCTCAACTTTATCACTTGAATCCTTCCGTTCCAACAGCGGATGTGTCTGTTCCTGAACATTAACGGGGAGCAGAGGGAGCTGCTCCAGAGGAGACAGCTGCAGAAGTTTTCTTGATGCAAATTCTTTCATGCCATTTTCTATTTGCATATTTTAAAGCAAGCTGTATTCCTCTGAGGAAGAGAAATATTTGTAGCAATACTGTGCCCTATTGCAAAGGAGTCATAAGCAGGAAATGGTGTGGCCATAATGGATTGTCCTGCTCTGAATGCCCCACACCTCCAGTATTTTCCAACCCATAGTCGAAGGAGGAAAGCTAGCGTGAGCTTCCTGTTTGTGAGAGAAGTGACGATCTCTACGCAGCAGAGGTATCTCATTTCATTTCAAAGCGATGTGCAACACTTAAAGCCCACAGACAATTCCAGCCTTTTTTAATCTCCTTTCAGCAAGCATGTCCTAGTTCATTATAAACTCTGCAATTACTCCAACCCGGCTGAGAGATTATCCATCCAGTTCATGCGGAAACCTCGTTCTTACATGCACTCTTGCACACTCACACACGCACACACACTTATCTTAAGGGAGGTAAGGGGAGTTTGAAAAAGCCACTTTCTTCTGACACTGGGAGATCTACTTACCAGATTGCTCCTCCCTGGGTGCACAATAAACACCACCAAATGTCAGGCTGTGGCAGTTTCAAGTTCAAGTTAGATCAGTTAACTTCACTTTCCTTCTTAGCTATCAGAAAATTTGCACACCTCGGGAAGCGGGGTAGGAATCCTCACGCTCCTGCAGTTCTGATGAAGTACCCAGACACAGCCTCTTCTTGAAGGCAAGACACTATTCTTACCATGTGCCTAAAATGCATTTCAGCTGTTGCTCACTAAATGTACCTTAAACAGCTCTATACAGCAGAGTTCAAACTACGGTACCACTTGGAAGACCCAACAGTGCTTAGAAATTACAAATTACCAGCATAAAGCAGCAGGACTATGACAACCAAGGACAATCTGCTGGGGTGTTGTCTCTGTGTTTGGCCAGCCAGTCTTTGCTTCTTCAGATTCTCTAAACTAGCAAAATAGAATGCATCCTTGTAGGTACTAGCCACAAGATGCAATTAAAATATTAGGAAGTTCTGCAGCCTTCAGAGGCTGGCTTAAGATCCCCGTAACCTATATGTATAAGACAGAGGATGACCAAACTGAGAACTGATTAAAACTGCAGCCAAGATCATACAAACTCCTGCTGATATGCAACCATGCAGACCTTGTAACAAATGAACTTAGAGGAACACTGTTCAAATAAAATTAAGACTCAGAACTTCAACTCAGCAAAGTCTGGGATGTAAACTTTTATTGTCTCTGCTCCCTTGCCACTTTGGCTTTGGGACTGTAGTCTGTTTGACATGTAGAGCTGCCCAAAATCCAAACCAGCCTTTCTAGATTTAAATGTAGCGGCAAAAGTAATTCTGGATGAGCTCAGCACTGTGGCTCAGCACTTCTATGACTCTGCAGCAGTAAGTCACACTGTCACTATTATCTCAACAGAGTCAAGTTGTTAACCTGTCTGACCCTTTTACAGTAATCGTTCAAACAGAAACCAGGAGTGTTACCACATGTTCCAAGACTCTTTTCAGAACTGATGTAGGCTCTGGGCTCAACAAAAAATCCAGGAAGCTGAATGCTCAGCACTGTTGCCCACATGCTTCAGAAACTGCAATAGGTACCACCCAAGCACTAGCTTTCCCTTCCTCTGTAACTCCACTGCCTTCTTGTCTGTCCTAGCTGTCACCAAAATGACTTAATCCCCCTGGACTGCTCTTTGGGAATTCCTGGCCCAGCTCCTTGCAAAATTTGATTGGTGGAAAAAGCATGTCCCAAGCAATTAGAAGCAATGCAACTGCTCCCCCAGCAAAGTGAAGTTGATGAGAAGAGCTTGAAAAAATCTCCCACCTGCTAAGTTCCAAGTTTAGAGGGTTTAAGAATGCCTCTTTGAAACCCTTCCAGCCCAAAATGAAATGCCCTGATTTCCTACTGTGGTATTGGAGCAACCCCCTACTAAGGCAGTAGGGGTTATCCAAAACCTACAGTGGAAGATCTGGGCCCAAACGTGGAATGACAGACTGATTTACAAGTCTTTCCTGATCTAAATGCAGGCCTGCTGCAATTCCTTCCAGTTCTGTAAAAAGAGCTGTTTTCCCCCAGACCTCTTTGTCTAGTTTAGAGACACACAGAATTGTTTCTCATGTCCCTCCTTTTTAGGGCTATATTTCTCTTCTAAACAATGGCAATTTGCAAAAGTCTCATCCAGAAAGCAAAGATCCAGCTCACCTATCAGCAAAGGGACTAATCAGCTTGTGTCCTAGACTGCAAGGCAGTATGAATGTAGCTTAGAGAAGCACACCAAAGGCTCTCCCTCCAAAGGCTTTCTATCAAGGCCTGCCCCAGAAATGCTGCAGAAGTGGCCTGAAGTCACTGCTAACTGTACTGACTGTACTGAATGTGCATTTGCTCATTCATGTGAGCAAAGTCTTATTGTCATGGCCAGGGGGTTTGGGTAGTGTCTCCACTCTAAGGTGGCTAGATCTTGAGAGCTCAAAAGGTGTTTAGCAGCTTCTTCTTCCAGCACCCAGCTAAAGCCTCTCTAAGGGGAGAAAGAATGGAAAGAAAGATGCAATGTCCAGCTTTCCTCCTCGCCCCAGCCTCAAACTTCCTCCAGTTTACAGAACGATTCCTAAGCCACCAGCAACACACTGTCTTCAAGGAGAAGCACAAGAGGAAGATGGTGCAGACAACCCCTTTGCTAGTGAAATACTGCCTTGGGCCAACACTTCATCTGGGGTGGGAGTGGACAGGATCTCAGACCCAGTCCATCATGCTTGGGACTTCAGCAGAAGAGAGTTCAACTTTTCATTGACTAGCATTTCCTAGCCAAGCAGATGTTAAGGGCGGCTACAATACACATCCAGCTTCCAAAGGGTTAGCATAGCAGGCAGGAGAGGAAAGAGATGGATTTGGCTCATAATAGTCAAATTTCAAGGGTCCTCTCTCCACAAAAAATAGGTCTGCAGTCAGAACAGCCAAAAGCTGCAGGGGAATGAAGAGGGAGGGGCATGGTCTGGCTCCTTATAAGTGTTTTTGTTGCTCTTCAAAGCTGAATACTTCTTCAAAGGCATAGCAATGGACATTGATTTCAGTCTGAAAGTAGCAGCCCTCTCCCCACTCACTCTCCCACCCACTCTGAAGTGACTTTCTCAGCAGGATGCACTGTGGCTATAAGTCTTCTGCTTAACAGCAAAGCAACACATTCTGGCAACATCTTAAATATATTCATAGGACATCTGTGACTGGATTTGGAGGGGAACCAAACAGGGTAAAGGGAAGAGAAGTGAATAGGAAGCGCAGGACGGGGGAAGAAAGGGATGGGAAGGTTTAAAAATGTTAAGTGTTCATGAAAGATAAAAGACATCTTCTGATATAGCAGCACTTTAGCAGTCAGCCACGCTGAGTAGACCCTGTCTGAGATCAACTGCACGCCAACTTTGTTCCAGAAACAAGTCTGAGAGCCTCTCTCTTCAGCAAGTATTGGTTACGTGGATAGTTCTTTTGTCCTGGCATTTAAATACTGCAGCTTAAATGAGTCCTGGGAATGAAAAACAGAACAAACCAAACAAAGCCCATTCGCACTAAACCTTTTAATGATTTAAAAGAACATCTGATTGACCAGAGTGTTTGAGAAAATCAAGACAGCTGATCTGGCAGCTCTGGAGCATCACTGTACATTTACCAATCACACATGATACAGGATGTGCCCCATGACAGAGCATTTTCAAGGGAAAACATCATTGTGGACACCCCCTTGCAGTAGCCTGTCAACTTTTCTGCCATTTTTCTTAAGCTATTAACAGCAACTGTGCATGTACCCACCATAGTGGGCAATCATGCTACCCCACTCCACTCACATACATCAAATCCACTCTAAAACTGACCCAAACATATGGAACATTATGTCCTCTCCACATTGTGCAGGCCAAGACGAAAGGGTAAGGCGATGAGCAAACCAGCAGCTCTCATATGAACAATTTAACAGCCGTGCTATGCTACAGAGGTCTAGGGGTAGGCCCTATGAGTAAATGATTTTGCACACTGATGCATCTCGATTAAATTTGCCTGGGCTTGTGCCTCAGTGTCTCCTCCCCTAGGCCAAACTGTTCTCCTGAATCAGCTTGCTGCAGAGTGAGAAGAATGGTCACCACTTCAGACGGAGTGAATAAAGCTGATGCTTCTTAGCAAAACCCTCCTGCCTGGCGACAACTGCCCAGGGTCATGCCATCTGCATCCCCTTGTTAGGCAGCAGCTGCTCTACTCGCTCTGCAGAAACCCTTCTTCCTTCTGGATAGCAGCGATAGCTGATTTAATTATTGATGATGATGGGCAAAGGAGGAGGGGTTCTTCAGGCGAACTCACAGGTGCCACATGCCACAAATCCTAAAATAAAGTCCCTATTCTAAGGTTTCAAAATCATTCCTGTTCTTTTACAGGACACTGTAATTACTGTCCAACCAAGATGAGAAATATTGATAGACTCAGCTAGTTATTCAAGCAGCATGCTTGCACTACATCCAGTGCCACCTTTGAGCCTCTGTTACCTGTGCGAGTGTGAGGTACTGTGTAGTGTTATTTATCTTGAGATGTAGGTGTATGTTCTGGACGGGGAACGAGTGGATTCTGCTTGGGCAGCTGGGTCATTCAGAAAATCCCAGATGAGGATGGTGTCATCGTGTGAGCTGCTGACGATCTGGAACTCATCAAATTGAAGCCGAAAGACTCTTCCAGAATGCTCCTAAATGCAAGTGGGAGACACAGTATGTTATAAATTTGCTGGCACGTGGGATGGATCAGGGAAGATGAAACTGGCCTTGGATTCTAGCATTACATGCATTTCTCAGTAAACCCCACATGACACACTGTGCATCAGCACATCAGCATCACGTTGTGTAAACTAAGTTCTCTTTCAGTGAAAAGGATTTGCGGTATCTGAGTACTTGGCTCACAGGAAGTTTACAGTTACAATTACCCATTACTCCTTAAATCTTAAACATTGGACATGTACTGTGCAGAACAAACCAAGCTCCCTTCACCACACAATTCAGTCTGGTGAGGCTGACAGGAACACTGCCTTCCTTGTTCCATGGTGAAACTCATTCCCAAAATCACAGATTTCCAAATGCAGTAGGTTACAGGGGGAGAGATGTGAACTTTGCATTTGGCACCACTGCCACTGCTGTAAAGGAAAGGGTTTAATACTGGAGGATACTAAGAAGCCTGTTGTAAAGCCTGGTGACACAGTAATAATTCCTCTTAAGCAGTTCTAAAAATATGAACTAGAAAGGGCATACTTTACAGGCAGTTTGCATTCTGCTCTGAGGCTGAGTGGAAATGGCATGACGATTTGGCAAGGGTTCAGACTGTAATTAACAGGAGGTAACGGCAAGATCCTGGATATCACAGAGCAAATCCACTGTACTTTCCCGTTGTGTTGCCTGGTTTTCTTGGTGCTTACACTGCTATAAGAACAGCGGCCTCTTCCTCGGTCAGAAGGGAACAGAAACCATGCAACTAGGGTGAGCCCTATCTCATCCATTAATACAAAATTCTCTTCAGTGCTCACACATTGTAATGGGCTTAGAGTCAGTAAAAAAACATGTCTTAAAATACTTCAATACTGAAAATGCAGTTTTCTCAAATATTTAGGCAAAAGATTAGTCTTAGCTACTAAATGCCTCTGTCCTATGGTACAGGACTACAAGAATACAGCTTGGTTTGCAAAGCACAACAACTGCCTTAAAGTGAATCTGTTAATCTCTAAAATTGACTGAAAATACACACGCAATATTCAGATTCTATTTTTAAGATAAATTTAAAAAAATGGTCTAATCCTTGGACCTTTTCTGATCTCTTAACTATACTTTGAATTTGTCTTAAAAACACCTCATGCGCTTGTCTTCCCACCTATTCAAAAAAGAAATGTTTTCCCAGAGTCTGTGTTGTAGAAGTGAAATACAGAAGTTTTTTGCTAAAAAATATCACTACGACAGTCAGGTCCACTGAGGGACAGCCCACAGAGAGAGGTGCTTCCAAAAACTGTTTCCAGAGCTCCCTTTTTTCTCCCAGTCACTGTAGGCTATGTAATGTTGCCCTAGAAGTTCCACACACCTGCCCTTTGCTTTTACAGAAGCAGTAAGCACAATGCACACCCTAAGTGGAGGCCAAAAGGACCTGGACTCTTTAGCTTGTAAGGAAAGCTGAGCTATGTGCTTATTCTGTGCCTCAAAAGCTTCTGACAAATTCATGTGGCCACCATTCCAGCTAACAGAAGACAAAACTGGAAGGGACCTGGCATGCAGCAAGCATTTGTTATCTGTGCAGTTTCCTCCTACTGTTTGAAAATTGAACACGAGCAGTGGGAGACTCATGATGCTCATTGTGCAGCCAGGTTTAATTTTGGAGGCTGAGGGAAGAGAAAAAACACAAAACCAAACCATGGGTAAGTGGGTATAAGGACACCCTGTTGTCATAAAACTCCTAAAAGTGCCAAAACAGCTTCCTCTGTACCCCCCCATCTCTTTTGGCCCCCTCCATTGCTATCAAATAGGGATTTATGAGTATCTGTGTGTTGAGATTCCTACAGTGTTTCCATCCCACTGGATCTGATTTATAATATAATTAGCTGGGGCACTTTGGCTGTCCACTGCTGGAAAATGCAGAGGAAATCACACCAGTTAAATTAAGTCTACAGGTTACTTAGGCACACATTTGTTTCAGGCTAGAGCAGGAACACTACTAATACCAAGCTGAAGTCTTAGACTCTCAGGATATGTGCTTATGGTTACAGAGTAGTTCCACAGTTTGGGACTGGGTGGCTAATGACAAAGGGTTTTTCTGGATTTCAGCAGAAACAATTTGCAGTTCTACTTAGCTAACAAGCAGGTTTTTCAGAATAGCTCCTGCAGGCACCTGAGGCTCTCATAGACTCTTACTCTGCAGCTTAGGGCTCAAATACACGATTGGAAAAGAGCATGGTTTAATGCTCTACTGCCTGTCAGCTGAGTCACAGTAACTCTCACACTCTGCACCAAATGTGAAAGCTACAACAACAGTAGCAATTCAGGCGGTGGATGAGAGTGCAGAAGGTCAGTTAGCACAGCTCAGCTGGTGAGAGATAACCACGCTTCTAGAGAATCAGATGGCCTCGGTATGATCTTGGTTTAGAGCACAAACTACAGTCGCACACCACAGCAGGAAAAGGTCCAATATATACTGACCCAAACATTTCTTTGCTAAAAAAGAAATATGTTTAGTACTTCTTTTTCAAAGATAACTTTGTACTGGATTGAAATCTTCCTTTATCCTCTGCAATAGCGCAAGCTTTTTGGGGTGACTGTGATGGAGGAATGCTTACAGGAACCATCCCATAGCCTTGGCTGTACTGGCATTTTCCTCACAGCTTTCTCACATTATTATAAGACCAGTGCAGATCCACTGTTAAGCATGACTGTGAAAGTTGTTAACACTCACACAATGACATTTTAACCACATCATCATCAGACCTGCCCTAAATACTGATGGACAGTATGAAAGTGGTAGTTGCTGTTTAAGGATGAGGTAATAAAGAATGAGGCAATTTCACTGTCTGTTCCAGTCCTTACCTGCCTTTTTCCTTAAACATACAAGTGCCAGTTAAAAGCGATTCCGAAGGTGTTTTTGCTCTTGTTGCTCAAATTTGGAATGTAAAACTTTAAGAAATTTCATGTCAACGTATCAGACAGCTTACTATTACAGCATCAGGTATGCACAGGTTAAAGTAAACCCACTGGTACACAGATTTCAAGAAGGACAAGTCTCAAAAGTTAATTTAGCTAATAACTTCAAATCACAGAGCAAAACTGTTAAAAAGTGAGTGACAGTTCCACAGGTTCCAACTTCTAATGCTTTATAGCTTGCAACATTAAAAAAAAACCACACCAAAACATGGACACACAAAAAAGCCAGACCCATAGAAATTTCTAGATCCTGCAGACTGAACTAAGCTGACTTGAGTTTTCATGGCTCAAGATAGCCCTGATCAAGCACACTTTTCTGCTCCCTCCAACACCCCTGCCAAAAGCTCTTACCACAAGGGTTCGCAAGCAGAGGGTCCCTGCTGGAGCACGGGGGTCCAAAGCAGCCACAAGATCCCATACTTTAATTTTCCTAGTAGTGAAAAAATAGACAATAGTCTTTGTTAGAGAGAAAAGAGCAAGTGCTCACAGAAAAAAAAAATAAACTGTTAGTACATCTTAGCTAATACAGCAGTTCAAGGAAAATTACAGCAATCCTTTCTGCTCTTGAGAACTGGTTCTTGCATTTCCCCTTTGTAAAGCTTATAGAGCTTAATGGGAGAAAAAAAAATGTACTGTCAACAAAGTAAACCCCATAAAAAGCAGGTGGCGGTAACTAACAGAAACGTGGGAGTGCAGACACCTAGTCTGTAATGGCAAATGGTCCAGCAGATATAACCACAGATAGGAAAAATTGTTCTTAGCAGTGGTTCAGCTAGAAGAGGTTTCAGGCTGTGTCGGTCAGACATTCTTACAAAGTAAAGAACTGGACACACACATCAAAACACACTGACTTATTGCAAAAGAAGGAAAAAAGGTATGCTTTGTAACATGGTCCTGATTTACAGACAAGGTGACTAGTATTTATAAGGAAGATACAGAAAAGTGGGATGTGAGACACTGAGACAGGAAGATGCAAGGTATTAACTGCACTGATGGCCTCACCCATCATACGCCCCACTGACTATCCTCTTCTTGTCAAAGCGTATGCATCTCACCAACTCTTCATGGCCTTCCAATACTCGTAAACATGCCCCACACTCGATGTCCCACAGCCTGGAAGAAAGAAAACAAAAGTAGTACCTAAAACAGTTATGAAGTTAGCCTACTTGCTTTCCATGCTTCTGTCAGCTTTTTGACATGACTTCCAGTTACCATGGATAAAGAAAGGTTATTTTCCTACAAGAACTGAAATTCTTTGACACACATTGTCTAGAGATGGTCCATCTGTGGCTGAAATGTGCTCTGCTCATACAGGAATCTTAATAGCTGTATCTGCCGCATCTCCCTGACGCACAGCAGAAAAGAAAGCAGGCACAAATGTTCTTAAATGCTCATTCAATTAGCATTCAGACTGACTTGAACTTCACAGTAGTGAGAAATACAGGTGGAATCTCTAGGTGACACATCTCAAAGCAGAACAACTGCTGAGGGTTCAGGTCACTTGTCCTGAGAGACAGAAAGAAACAGAAACACTGTCCCCACATATTTTACTCCTGAGGTCCCCAAAGAATAATCCAGATCCAGTGGATTTGTGCCCAAGGTTGGCAGATAATGACTGCAGCTGTCCTGCCATGACAAGCTGCTCTCACTTTGGACAACAGAGGAATGGACAGACTCTTCCACTACTATAGAACTGATAAACAATTTGTCTATGCACACAACTGAGGCCAGTGAGGAGCACCAGGTGACTCTTCAGCTTGTGAAGTTGATCTTTCAGGAATATGAAGATGAAGATCCTAATAATTTTCACATAGGAACCAGCCCACCAGTCAAGGTCAGAGCAAGCAACTCCATGGCAAAGGTCAGCCAAAGGCACTCTGGCTGGTCAGCGAGCATTAAGTCTCCCAAGGACTGTAAACAGGGTGGACAATGCCAGAAATGAATTGGTGCAGAAAGGTTTGAAAAGCAATCTTGTGCCAGGAACTTTAGTGCCATGTGTTTCCATTCCCTGCCATTAATCCTGAGATTGCCAGCAGCTCTGGGAGGCTGCATCACGCTAATTCAGGCCTGTATTTTAAGGTCCCAGTTTGAGGTTTTACCTGAATCTGAATGTGCTGAGATGATGATGTCCCTAGCCATGTGGGGAACAAGCCTTCATGTACAAAAGAGGTAACTACTATGTAAGAGCAGAATCTCCTAACAGAATTGGTGTCAAGGGCATCTTCCAGATTTGATAACCTTCTCAAATTTCTACTTCTTTAAATAGCCAAAGGATGAAACAGTAAAGGAAGCACTCTAAAGGCTTAAGAACTAACTAAAACAATTTACTACAAAGTGTGCACAGTCAAAACCACTACCACTCTTCCTTGCTATAGCTTTGGGAGAATTTCTGGAAGTAGAAGGAAGTCTGCAAGCCTTTAATTCACCTGAAGACCTAGCAGAGCTGGAAGATGTACAGAACGCCAGTGAGACTGAATCCTCATCTCCTAGAGAGAATGCTGTTGTTTAAACAGTCAAGTGTCAGAACCCCATGTGTGCACACACTGGAGGTTGAACACACACATGCAAATCAACCACTTAATTAAAAATTAACCCAAGATGATGTAGCCTGAGTCTATTTTCTTGTTCTAAATTATCTTTTTTGTCTTTTTTTTTTTCTATAGCATGTTTGTCTGTAGCAATTAAGAACTTTGACCCTGAAGACTAAGATACTGAAGTGGTTGGATTAAACTCGATAAACCAATTTCTAATAGATGGAAATCACCACAAGGACAGCAATGCGGTGTCCTCTTACACTGGTGAAATATCTGGCCTACAACAAAACCTAAACAATTTTTACACACGACATCTCTCCACAGAAGATACTGATTTCTCTGCCACTTCACATGTCCTTGTGTTTTCAGTTGCAAAACTAGAAATCCGTTACCTTTCAGAAAGTTTCCCTGAAACTGAGGAACATCAAACTTCAAATTCTGTATCAGGAGGCAGCCTCTATTAAAGGCCAACACACAACATCTGGCATTTTATAGTGGATTAAAATCAAACATACAAAGCACAAAGTCACCCACAAAGATGACCTGGTAACCTGCCCTTTCTTCATCACCCTTCCACTGACTTGTGCCCCCTGCTAATGGCTGGAAGAAAACAATGTGACCAGGTAAGTCTTCTGCCTTACCCACACAGCGGCCAAACATGACTTCCATTAAGATTCACTGCCAACATTCCTGAAATTCTAGCACAATTTATCTGTCAACTAGGGATTTTGTCCAATGTAAGCATAAAAGTAACTGTATTCCTCTTTAGCGTTATCACTATCTTGACATCTATTTTTATTAGCATTGCAAGTCGTAATTCAGATCCTTCCCTAGCTGCTGTAACATTTAACTATTTCTTACTCTAACACTGGGACCAAGTTTCATAGTACAATTGCAGAGGGCTTTTTTTCTGTTTGAAGTGGAGGAGTTCTCACCATGCGTAAGTGGTGCTACTCTTACATGATGCCTGTAATACTTCTTCCCTTGATTTAGAGACAGAAGTTCCAGCTCTCTCGGTCATGCTTTCAGACAGCCCTACACTAAAATCTGGTATAATGACATGGTGATGTCAACCAAAGGACAACTATTTTCCTACAGAATGCAAAGCCAGAAGAGGTAAGTAAAGTCCACAGACAAACAGCAGCATGAATCATTCTCACTGAGGAGAACTTACTAATGATATGCAAAGCGAAGGGTTTCTGCTTACACTGTCCAGTTTTCAGGTTTTATCAGATGGCAGACAATTATTTAAAGCAATGACAAAGACAAAAGGGGGGTTGCTCTTACTCCTGCTTGCATAACAGAGCCATTTCTTTACGTCACTTCAACTACTACTCAAGCTTGCTCCATATGCCCTGAGATTAGTGAGACGTCCCTCTGCCAGCATCTGAAGATGCAGAGAGAAACCCTGACTCATGATACCAGAAGGAGTTAAATCTCAGACTGCAACCAAGGCAGCTGGAGAAGTGCAAAAGGCAGTAAACTGAACTTCAGCCTCTAAACCAGCTGTTCCAAACTTAACCAGGTGCCAAGTACCACAAGAGGAGTTTGGCGAGAGCCCAGGAGGATTTCTGCAGAGGATTAAATGCCTCTTACTGCAAATCTGACCCCTGTAACTAGACACATAGCCCAATTAAAATATCACAAGAGGACACCATAGAAAGTGGTACTTGCCAGCTCTTTCATACACCAGAATTGTCAGAGCAATGCAACTTGTTGATTAGTATGGGACTCTTGAGATACAGAGGATGAAAGACAACACAGTAAACAGGCTTCTAATATCTCCTTCCAGTAGTTCCCAGTGTTCTACAGCAAAGAAAGCATTTTTCAAAGAGGACAAGGGTACAGAGCACTTCAGTTGCCTAACCTCTGCACATCCCAGGGAATCAGAGACAACGTGCTGGCACAGAACTCTGCAATGGGGAGTGTGTCTCTCACCTGATAGTATTATCTGAAGAGCCGCTCACTACTAGCCTGTCTCTGTACTGCAGACATGCAATGCCTCGTTTGTGGCCATTTAAGGTGCGCACAAATTCGCAGGTACTAGTGTTCCATACCTGTGACAGGAAGGGGGGAGGGAACCACACAGAGACAAAGGTATTAGGAAGAGACTAACAAAAGCTGGTATCTGTATGATATACAGATGCATCCAGAATGCTCTTAATTGAAGATGCTATCATTAAGAGTGGGAAGATTACCGCTCCAGTGACTTGTGATTATATTCTGCAACTGTTAGCATCTTGGGTCACTGTACACAGAAGATTTTTGCCACATCATGTAAGAATTAGCTTCCAAAATCAGGCTTTAGCATTCTTGGGCTATGATTTAGTCTACACAGGATCTTGATTTTCCTCAGTTTTAAGGCTGCAGATTTGGATCACAGCAGTAACATTAAAGAGACTCCTATCCACTCACCTTTACTTTTGCCCCCATGCTGCCCTCTGACAACTGTTCGAGTGACATGCTGAAACAGATCATGGAAGTGGTCAAGTTGAAAAAGAACACAGAAAAAAAAAAGTCCTTTTTCAACTGCATCTGTAACTAGGTCTGATTTGCCATCCAGTGCTGTAAACAAGTTGTGCAAGCTCAACACAGAAGGGACAAGTGGAAACAAGCAGCAGGAAGAATACTGCTTCTAATGGAAGATCTGTGCACTAACTGCCAAGGACTATCTTCCATCTCTGGGCATCTGTTCTCAGTTATTAAATACCCCAATGCTGCAAATAAGAAGCCTCTGAAACACCTCACCTTTATAGTTCTGTCACCTGATGCTGATACAATGTACTTGTCATCAAAGTCCACCACGTTGACAGCTGCTCGGTGCCCTACTAGCACCCTCCTTAGGGTGATGTCTGTTGGTGAAGCCATGTCCCACACAGCAATGGAACGGTCTTTGGAACATGTCACCATCATGCCGTTATTGAAGCGGAGGTGCAGTACTGCTTCGCAGTGGTGAATCAGTGTGTTCAGCATCTCACCTGCATTCACATCCCACACCCTGCAGGTCCAAATTTCAAACCAGAGAGAAGAGAGTTAAAAAACTGTACAGTGGATTATCTGCAGAGCAAGAGAGGCACAAAGAGAGGTAACTGACTCTCTAGCAATATTAGAGAAGCTAATATAACGCCACAAGTTATATCTGTATCTATTAAATAGTTCATTAAAAGATGTATTATATAAACCTATTGACTATGCATACACTGAGACAGTACAGCAGTCAAAACCCCTGCAATGCAATTAACACCATAAAAATAAACCAGCCAGGAAAGAAGCTTTCTTTAATTAAGGGAATTTAGTGTTGAGGAAAGGTATGAGATTGATGGCCTTAAAGACTGATGTTTCCTGGTTGTATAAGCCTACAACACACTCCATTTCCAGTCAATGAGTACTTAGTCATAACCTGTGGAGAAGCAAGTTCAGTGACAGGTTTAATTTTTGACCTCTTTCACAGGACTATCAACTCAAGGCAAAATTTATAGAGAAGCAGAAGATAATGCTTTTCAAACAAATGTAAGTAACTGCCCCAAGTTGCACCATGAACTGCATTTACCCTGCAGTGCATCTGCTACACAGCTACATTCCAGGAATGCGCTGAATACTCAAATTAAGACAGAGCAGTTATGTCAACTTAATGTTATTAGAACCAACTGTTCCAGCGGAAAGATAATTTAAGATGAAAATTAGGAAAAGGCTTCATACAGAACTTCTAGGAATTGAAATTAAGATATTAAGTCTTAAAAATGTTTCTTTTGGGCTATTCTGTTGGCAAACTTCTTTCACCTTCCATAAGGATTTCTTTTGGCACTATCATACCTGTATCCCACATATCCTATGTGAGAGCAGAAAATGGCTGTATCATCAGGCACATCAGACATTGCCAATAAGGCAAGCAGTAAGAAAATCTAAGATGTGAGAAAGACTTCTAATGTCTTATAACTTATGACGGCTGAAGTGCATCAACTTACAGCCTATAAATGAGAATGAATAGTACATTCCAATTACAAAATGCAAAGAAGAAAACCTGACAGAATAACGACCTGAGCTGTTAACATACGAGCAGTTTGCAGACAGGGTTGCCAAACTGAACAGGAGCTGGAGACCTACTGACTTCTTTGGACAAGTGCATCCCTGAGATCTCAGAAGCATTAAGAGCCCATCTGTACTGTTTATTGAATGAAGCCCCTCTTCCTGAGGAGACCCGAGGATAAAAGTGATGCATCCTATGTGCCTCTGGGTTCTGCACATTTACAGATACAGTGGGAAACAAAAGTATTTCTGGGCAAGCAGCCAGGCTGCAATTTGGCCTGCTTGGTCTGACATGGAAGATGATAGTGCTTGTTACAGAAATCAGCCTCTCTGTTGTGATCTGCTCAGTACAGTGCAGTTCCCACACCGTCTCCAGGCAGGCAGAATTGCTGAAATTCTTGATTCCTGCCAATGACAGGACCCCAAAATCCAGCAGCACCACAAAGACCACATGCATCACATGTCAGGAACTAAATGTAATCTTTATTAGCTTAACAGTGGTAGTTTACACACATGCACAGTGATAACCATAAAGAGCTTTCAGCTAATAGCTTCAGAAAAGGCCACTGACACAGCCTTTTGTTGTCTGTAACTTCACTTCATGGGCACTGTTTGTACTCTGACAAGAAGAGGATATATAATATAACAACATGGAGAAGACAGACCTGCTCTTCCACATATAAGTTCATATTGCAGTTCATTAACTCATATGTGCTTGCATTTATACTACAGGTCTTAGACTCCCTGGGATTCTGTAATATGTCTAATGGACTTCACATCTCCACAACATGCACCACAAGTGCTGACTTGAGGTGTCCAGCCTTTGGTTGGAGAGTGGAAGGAAAGCAAGGTTAGAATGACTGAACAAAACCAAACATCATGCAAAATGTAATTAAGAGTCACAGGAGATCTAGTCATACATCTTTTGTTAAAATTGACTATGAATGACTAAACCTTCAAACCTGCTTTGAAAACTTCAACCAACTTTTAAAAAGTTATTCTCTGGGAGAAGTTAAAACATTCTTAGGGAGCATCAAAACATGCAAAACCTTAGTGAAAAGCCAGATAGCCTTCCTAACTCATCTTGACCTTGACTGACCTTTGCTTAGGTTCTCATTTCTCCTTGACAGCCATTTGCATGGACATCTGATAAATAAGGCACAGTACATTCGTGAACACATATGCTGAACTACTTCAAGGAACTGACTGAAGAGCACACATTTAAGAAAATATTATTTCAGCAGCTTGCAAGGCTAAAATCTTAGAGGCAAACAGAAAACTCCAAATTATGAGCACACACCTGACTGTTGAGTCTGAAGATCCAGTAATGATCACCCGTTCATCGTACTGGAGACACAGGACAGAACCCGTATGTCCAGTGAGAATTCGCTTGCATTCCAATGTATTCTTATCCCAGATCTAAGATAGTAAACATTCAAAACCAGACAGCTCAGCAAGATTTTCACCTTTCAGCACTTACTGGTTTGACTAGTCTAGTTTTTACTACAACACATCATCCATAGTGCAGTACAGAACATCTTTAGTGACATCTGTAGAATCTTTTACAAGGCTCTTTTGTGCAATATGTTAACATCTTTGATATTACTGTCTTTACTATGAATATTGGTTTTACCCTTCTCATCAAGGTACAAGGCACAGTAATTACATAGGCTGTAATTACTGATGCGCAAAAACTCTGCTAGGGAAGTCTGTCTGTAAGAAAACAGGGTCTCTCTTGCCAGATAAAAGAGGAATAACATGCTCTGCACGTATGAGGTAAGGGAAGAAGAAGGACAGGTTACTAACAAGAGATTGGGCAGGTGTCCTGAAATTAGGACACTATTATTTATGGCATAGGCACTACATTCTGGAGCATTCTCACCTTGATAGTATTGTCTCGTAGGCCACTTACTATCTTCTGATCATCATACTGTAAACAATAAACCCCTTTGCTTGTCTCGCTTCGGCAGTGGATCCTCTGTAAACTGTGCCTTCCACAACGCCAGTTTGACTCTATTGTCTTGAGAGACAGGAAAGAGAGTAAAATTAAAGCATGGAACTATCACCTCTTTTTCTGTTTGTTTGAGAAGACAGTAGATACTTTTCTTTACGTTTTTTTCTGCAGTCAGGCCCATATAATGACATAACTACTTTCTAAACTGCTTTCTAACACATATAAGAAAACCAATTAAACGGACAAAAGCCTAGAAAACATACTGCGGCTAAACTCATCTGTGTTATCTGGAATGGTGAGAGAGAAGTGACCTAAAAGCTTTTTTCTGTCTCCAATCTTTAACCCCCAGTGACTCAACAGCTAAACAACTGAAAAGAAAGTCTCAGTTGAGCTCTAGCTAAGCACTTGTACAAATTTGTCACAACAGCACCTGAGCATGCTCTTGCCATTAGGAAAGTACCAGAACATGGCATTTTGCTCACACTAGATATAAGGCAACCATGCTCAATTTCTCCCTGTAACATCTTAACAGGTCTCATCTGCATCAGCTGGAGCGAAATACTGTGGAACAGAGAAAATCAAGATGGCATGGTGCTGCTGTGGCATCTGACCTGCAAGGGGTAGAAACTCCCTCTGCAAACCGCTCACTCAACAATCCAACTCATCCCCTGTATAACGGAGTACTGAAGCCTGGGACTTTATGTAACTATCCCAGATCTACAAACTCCGGACAAAGACACCATAGATTTGATGAGGTATTTCATTACCTCATTTGATGAGGTATTTCATATTCATTTCATTCAGATTCATTAGAATGGCATGTTCTCAGAATTTCTGCATCATGAATAAATCAGTGAGATTTAAAAATAAATTAAAAATCCAACCAAACACACCACATCTGGAAGCTGTTTCTTACCTCTATGTCCTGTATAATTTTGGGGTAAAGTGCTCTGTAGAATGAGTTGGGTGGTGCAGTCCCATCAGGAGGTTTATTTTTAAATAGATATTGTCCCCTGGAAGACAAAAGAACATCCCCCAGTGAACACAGATCATGTTTCAGTATTTTGGAGAAAGGTCCTCCTGGCAATTTACAAATGGGTAGCCACTGTTTAAGAGCACAGACAGACTGATACTCAAACTTAATTTACTCAGTCAGATGGGGTGGTTCATTGTTTGTTTGCCCTGTAACATATCAATGTTGCATTCTGACACTGAAATACTCATGAAAAATCTGAGCCTAGTCACTCAGGGAAGGGAAATACTTATTATGGACATGAGCCCATTCAACTCAATAGGAGGTGAGAATAGCTCATGCCTGCAATACACATACCTATATCAGAGGTCACCTTTAAAATAAAGTGTACAGAGAACATGAAGGAAGCCAAGGAATCCTCAAACTTACCATGCATTTATAGCTTTTATCTGCATTAGCAGGAACAGTATCAGTTTTGGTACACGGACATTTTACTGCTTCTCTACTACATTTTGGTAAGCAACACTTCATCTGCAGTGCTTCCCTCATTTCAACACTGATTTGGAATACTCATATCCCAAGCTAGATTTTTGCTACCAAAAAAATTCCGTAAATGGCAATCACTACCTGCTGTGTAAAAAACTTTAATTCCTCATCCTGAAGTTAAGAAGCCACCAAACACGGTGTGGAAGCTAGTAAACCCCACCATGGGCGTACTAACTGCTGTTCTGCCTGGCAACATGCCTCACAAAATGGAGAGAGGCACAAATGCCTCTGAGTGTAATCCTGGCATCAGAGGCACAGAGTTTACACTGGGCCAGCTCTACACTTCTCCCTCCCTTACTCCATTATGGCATAATTAATTGTTCAGTACTTCCTTGCGCATTTCTTTCTTGTCCTTTCCATACAGTAGACCTCAAAACTCATTTGAGACACTGTACATCAGCTGCCTTGACATACTTGAACTGGGGAAATCACAACAATAAACTACATATTTTCTGTTATAAAGCAGTTGCAAACTATAGGACTGAACAAATTAAAAAACAAATGCTCAAGAAAAGAACTTTTAATAATTCTTTACATAAAGTATCTTAAGTATGGCTTGAGAGAATGGTGCTTTCCACTTTGGACAGAGTAGTCATCTGAGTCTTCAAATACAGTGACCAGCTGCCACACATATGGGGCCTAACACTAATTAGATGGTTGCCTATTTACTGTCATCCAGTCTGGAACTTATTGGTCCAGGGAGACAAAAAATGCTTTGAAGATACACAAAACACCTAGGATACATCATGGAAGACTTGACTTGGTCTACAACAATATGTATACAAGCTTATGTGCCTGAAAACCTATCTATTGTTTCCAACTTTACTAGCTAATCTAATACAAGGTCTTGTTGCCATCTATAAGCCCTGACTTACAACCTGTAGAGTCATTTGTTTACAGTACAGCTAAAGGATTGCTTGGAATTTCCATGGCATCCCAGCGGCCATTGCACTATGGGTCTGGGATAAAAGGAACTGCTGTTCACAGGTTTTGATGACTGGCCGATTCAATCAGGTATTCAGATGGACACAATCATGCCCAGATTTTGGACTTCTGTTTTATATTTCTCTAAATCTGTGTAACCCTTACTCCCCCCTGACAAGCTGTGAAGGGCAAGTGAAGGGCACCATGCTGCAGAATTAGGGGTTTCTGTTGTAAACCACAAGCTGAAAATACTGAAATCAGGCAGCCCATGCGCAAAGTAAGAAGCTGTAAGCAAATAAGACCAGTCATCTATCATTCTGAACTGTCCAGTTAGTCAGCTCCTAGTGCTATGCACAGTGTTAGCACTGATTACAAGCTATAAAGCTCTATGTGACAGAGATGCAATTACACTGGATATTTCTTTTCTGCTTCTCTTGAACACCACACCATGCTTGGAGTTACATCTTCTAGAGCTTATAATAGGGCAATCTGAAAGACAGAGCACAGCTTGCTCCTGTTCTGTGAAAGCAACCTCCAGGACACAGTGTAAACCTGAAGAAGAGGAGCAGTAACAGGGTGTGACTGTCCTCTGAGATGAGAAGCAGAATTGTGCAACTGTCTTTTAGAAACATCATATGCCTGTACTAGTAGCTCTTGCTAATGTTATTTTTAAAATTTTGAAGGACCATCCGACTCAACTTTGATATCTTAGCAGCTCTAGAACACACTGTTAATCAGATGACAGGTGACAAGCAACATGTAACACTGATCAATCCAGAATACACCATGTCAAATTGTGACCTGACCTAATTTCTTCTCATAGGCTATTCTCATGACTTAGCAAGAGAAAAATGATCTTTGGAGAAGCTCAAAGGTGGACACACAAATGGCTGGAAAGCACAGTTTACTGAATGTGCACTGATAACAGGATGGCAACTGGGACCTTGCATGGAGTCTGTTCTAGATGTGTCATTACTGAACATTTTCATTAAAGACAAAGTATAGAAGAGGGAGTGCATTTATTACCTGGCCAATGATATTAAAGCTGGGAGAAGCTACAAGCACTTTGGAGGACAAGATTGATTTCATAATGCTCCTGACGAAATGGAGATATACCAAACAATAAACAGAATCTAATTCAATAAGGACAAGCGCCAAGTTCACCACCGAGGAACAACATAAGCATGCAAGATGAGGAATAATGGCTAAGTAGAACTGCCACGGAAAGGCTAACTGATTTTATAACAGTGGTATTTCACTGTTAAAAAATAAAAAACACATGTTCCACTGGAAAGCATAAAATGGAATGTCCTCCATAAGACATGCAAAGCAATGCTTCCCACACCATCAAACTCTGGTGATACTTTGGCAGAAGACACCATCCACCAATGAGTAGAGTAACTGGGGAGGGTCTGAACCGAGAAAACCAAGAATGGCAAGAGGACGAGGCAACACAGGGTTACGGCTGGTCAGTGCATCCACAATCTAGGAAACATGATCATCTTCCAACATGGAAACGATTAGTGCCAAAAGGAAAATGAGAAACTGTCCTGTTTGCACAGGCTAAATACAATATGGCAAACTGTAGCTAAGAATACAGCCTAGATTTACAGAAAACCTTTCTAACACCAAATTCAGTGAAACAGTGGAATTCCTTGACCCAGCAAGGCTTGGGGAACCTCCGTCAGTGAAGGTTCTTAAGAACAAGCTTAGACAAATATCTGGGATGACTTAGGAGAAACCTGGCTCTGCCTTTGGGAAACAGGAGAAACTAAAGAACCACTCAAGGTCCTCTTCAAACTTAGTGTGACCTCAACAACACAGAGGAAAAACAGAAGTCCTGGAGAGAACAAGGTACTAAAAGGAATGCAGAAGTTAACACTGCCATGCTTGTGTTCATTTTACACTCTTTTTAAACGTTACACTATTGGAAGCAGATCAAAATAGTATTTATTTTTAAAGGATGTTTCATAATCCTGATTTACTTGCCTTTATTGCCTGAAACAAACAGTATAACAAAATTAACCATAAAAAAGGAGCCTTTTGTTTGCAACTCTGTATCTTTTTCTTTTTAATAGCAATCAAAATGCCTGAGCTGTCACTTTTATCTTGTTTATGAAATATTCATACCCAGCTTCCTTTCTGCCAACATCCTAGGGACACCCTTGGAAAAGAAAATTATGTATTAAAGGACGTACCCCTGAGAGGGAAAGTTCTAATGAAATGTTAACAGAGCAGCTTCAAACTTGAGTGAGACCCACATTGTAGTAAGGCTATTTCAGATGATTATTAACTAATCTATCTGCATTTCTAAAGTCCCCTATTCTCCATGGTACCTACCCTCAGCTTCCAGTTTGAAAATTAAACAGATATCTAATAGTGAAAATCTGCTGAGGAAAACAAACAGACCTATCAGGAAACAACTAATTCATAGCACATGCTGCACCACTGCCACCCCTAAAAAAGCTCTTCTGCTCTGAACTGCTGACCAGTTTAGTGTTCCCCTGGGGTGTACACAGCTTCTTAATTTGAACCAAATGACAGCTGGGTGTAAAAACCTCAGTCTGTATATCACACTTGTCACAGTGGGAGAAGAACATGATCAGATGAGGAAAGTGAGGAAAAAGCCCCCACGCTGCCTGCATAGCCAAATGATGCCCTAACTCCCAAATTTTGATTTAAGTAACTGTCAGATTTGGAACCAATATGATGTTTCAGGATGCTAAATAACTCTCTTCCAACATGTTTTGAAACACAGCACCTACTGTCCTGAATGGGGACAAAGGAGGTGAAGATGCAGTTTTCTCACCATCCTCTCCTCTCTGACAAGCCCCTCCATAGGGAGTCTGTCCGGACCATTCTCTCAATGAGCTTCTTCCACAGCATCCCATCCGACGTCACCCGGTACCACTCTTTGCACACCAGCTCAGCAGCACACAACGATTTGGCATCCAGGTATGACAGAATGTTTTCAGCAATGTGATCCAATCCCCGAGCTGAGGAAGAAAAAAAAAAATAAAGAAGAATATTATTTGCTGGGGAGACATGGAGTTTAAAACCACCCCCCTTGCTAGTACAAAGACACCCTCTCTTTCCATCTCCTCTTCTGTATGTGGAGCTGGACTAAATGCACACAAGAGCATTTGCAGCTAAGTTCAGGAGTGAACAGCGTTCTCCAACTTCCTTTGGATATAACACAACAAGTCATTAAAAATAATAAAGAATCCAAGAAGTCATTCCAATCTATTTCAATGGGTTTTAGCACTAGGGGGATATTCTATGGATGGCATTTCCAACTCAGCGACGCAGCCCCCAAAATCTCTCTATATTAGGACCATTTCTCATCTCACTGCTACAGCTGTTCTCATGTTGCAGCGGCTCAAAAGCTGTTTTTGCTAAAGCAGTAGCTTTTAAACGTAATGAAGAAAAAAATATATATTCCCAATGTGTGCCCTGAAGGGTAGTGGTACCTTTAGACATGGGGGAGGGAGAGATATGCAGATGCACAGGGAAGTCGAGAGAGAAGGAGAGGCTGTGTAAGGAGAAAGTGAAGCAGGTTTGTCAGTTTCATTTGCTTTAGTGGGTGAAGGGAAAATATGCACCAAAACGGTATAATTTTCAAATATTTTCTGGTGTGAATTCCAGGACTGGCTTTGTTTCAACATGGCTGGAGTGAAATGTAAAGCAATTGCTCGGTTAGCACCAACCAGCCCAATGTAACGCCTGTGAAGCTGGGGGACAGGAAAGGTTATCCTGTTTTTCTTAACTGGATGGATGCATCCAGTAAAAATGTGCTCTTATCCACTCAAATTTAATCACTACCAAGACTTCAGAAAAATAAGATGGCTTTTAAATGAAATGCTGCATAAACACAGCTTCTCTTGGAGCCTGTTTAAGTCACGAGTGACACACATCATCAAGAGATGACCTCGCTTCACAGGTCAAATTTCAGAGGCTTTGTAAAAGTTGTAGCTTAGACCTCATCATCCCTCAGGCATAATGTCCAGACCAACCAAAAACGAAGCATGGCAGATTTGCATTACATGCATCTTCCCTCTGATTCATATTTAGGACAGAGTTAAAGAAGTCTTTTCTTGTTTTTAGAACAACAGCCTCAAAGACCAGGCCCTGCTTTGACATGGAAAGAAAAAAAAGCAAGTGCATTTTTAAAGTCATATGGCCGTACTTCTGCAAACCCAAATTGGGTTGCAATCAGCTGATTCTGATTAGAGTTTATGAAACACAAAAGACCCAACCTTTGTTGAAGGTAACTGGAAGATCTCAAAATCATCTTCCAGTGCATGAAAATCAGAAAATTCAGCATGCCTCCTCTTGCTCCTCTCAAACATCCTAAATTTATAATACACTTTGGGTGAGACATTCTGCCCAGCGTTTTATGCTTCCATTCATGAGGAGAAAAAGCACGTGAATGATACCATGCACAACCACAGAGTGCAGAAAGAGGTCTGACATTTCTTATCTTTATAGATGCAAAATTAGATGTCAACCTGCAAAATAAAAGCATCAGCAGCCTTTATTATGCATTTAATCTGAAAAGATATATACAGCCACTATATAAAACTCTTTAAAAAAAGGAAAAGTCTTTGTAAATTTAGATTGGCTCTACAGTAATCTGTGGAAAGAGAGATACAAAGTTTTAGTGAATGTGAACTGTAATTTTCAGGAATTCCACAATTTGGAAGGGCAGCCATGGATATTGTGTCCCCCCAGCTTCCCCACTCTGACACCTGCAGCCCCGAGTCCTCTCCACTGGGTGCAAATGGCATATTTGCTCCCTCAGTCTGTGTTGCTTCCAGTGGGCCCACAGACATTTATAGATGCAACAGGGCACTCACAAATGCCTGTGTGTGTAGTATGCATACTGGTGGCTTTATGTCAGCAACATGGCTTTATGTCAGCAACATCACGGCAAGGAACTGTTTTATACAGGGACCAATCTGTGGCTTTAGGAAGCAGAGCTACACTGCTGGAAATGTACACAGTGATCTTCACCCGTAAGTCTGCCTCTGACCCACCTGCCTTTCCTGGATCATCAGTAGTTGCACTTTAGATCTTACTGCAATGAGGTGTGGTAACTACTTTCATTACCATAAATAATCCCTTGCCACTGATGCAAGACCCTTTGCAGAGAACGAAAACTAATGTTTTGGCCTCTCCTCCTCACATGTATAAATGGATGAGCAGAGCTACTCCGGTCTGTCAGCAAACTCAATTTTACTATTTTGTTTCTGAGGAAGAGCACAACTCACTGAGAAGTACATCTAACAAAGCACTGCTTCCTCAAAAAGGGAAATCTCTGCTCACAGAAGTTTTTGCTAAATCGACGTGAAACACAATTAGCCCTTCCGTCCTCCATACCAACAAGGATGTTTCAGTTATTTCACACATGAAAGCCTTATAAAAATGACTTTCCTCATAAAAAATGTTAAACAGCTTGGAAATGCTAAGCAGAGACCTTATTTTTCATAAACGGAACAAAGTTTGTTAAGTCCGCAGTTAAGCTGTATTTTTCAAACTACCTTAATTCTGTTCAAAGTACTGGGAAGATAATCTGAGTCAATTTTATTTTGTATTAGTAAAATGTGCTCATGATATAAAACTACCTTTAATTCTGGTCATTCTTTGGGACAGTGCTAGGAGGACAGAGATAAGATGCCTCATGATTTTGAAGTAGCTTTATTGTTTTATTCACTCAAGGGGGAGAGCAGGAAAGAGAATGAAGGAATAAAAATGAAACCAGAATACTGAATGCTTGAGAATTTCAGAAAGCTAAAAAAAAATACTTAAAGAGTCTAGGTTTTTTTATTATGTCACGTCATTTAAAATTTTAGGTTCATCCCTCTTTCTTAGGCCATTTCTTACCTTTCCCTTTCCCATTCCCCTCATTAGAAACCTGCCTGTACTCAGGACATCCTGCACAGACTGCAGAGTCTGCACCAGTGTAACTCCTTCCCATTAATTTTCTCCCTTAGAGCTATATTCACTAGGACATTAGCACTTTCAAATATGCAAATTGATGCACATACATTATTTAAGCACACAGTTCCCACAGCTATTCAAATACTCACATATTAGCTGCCTGATTCCTGTCTGTTCTGCATTCTGAGATAGTAAAATTAGCTGCTTCCTGGGTAAGTGTGAACACACTACTAACAAATACAGTATGGCTACAAATACAGAAATTCTGAATACCTCTGAAAATATTTACAACATTTACCTATATTTTTCAGAACAAGGCCTGTAGGATCAAATTAAGCAAGCGCAAATTAATGTGTTGGCTTGTTTTGATGGAGTTTCGTGAAGAAAGACCTGGAAAAACTGTGTAACTATATGCATGCTTGCACTTTAAAAGTGGGGAAATCACTGCACTTTCAAAATACTCTCTATTTTTCTGAAACAGAACAACTCCACAAGTTATAATGCTGCTCTAAGTACATAAGATTATTGCCATTGGACTACTAAAAACTAACATAAAGCAGGTACTTAGCATAACTAAGATTTTTTTTTAATGCCAGAACAGCCATTTGATTACTGGGCACAATGAGCTTAAAAACCCAGTGAGTCTATGTATTTAACCTCACAGCAAAACTCCTGCGGTGCCTTTATGCTTTGTACCAATTCACAGCTAAACATGCTTTTTTCCATCCTTTAACCCTAGAACTTACTGTTGAAAAATCCCTTATGAAGAATGATCAAATAACTGGACTGAACAAATTGTTGAAATTAAGCAGTTATCCAAATATATTCACAGAACAAGCTTTTGGCAAGAAACTCCTTCTCAGCTAGCTACTAAGGGAACCTATAGCACTTTTTGCTCATGTCCATTTCAAACTAATGCTGATCTATTAATTACCCATCTAACAGAGGTACAATATAATGGTCTGGAAAAAAAAAAAAGACCAAAGAACCAGGAACTTCTGTCTGGTTCTGAAACTTTATTGCTCTATGCACAGTCTCCCACTGTCCCAGTCTTCCCAGCTATCAGACACGGCCAATGCAAAACTGCACATACACTGCTTTATGTTTGCATTCTGTGAGTTACACTCAATGCCACATCTGAAAACATGTGGAATACTATTCCTAAAGGAAAGCACTACAAAAGTACAAAAAATAGAACATTTCCATCCTTTAATCTTATGCCTTCCATTCTCTATTAGCAATAAACACATAATCAAGGTGATGGCTTCAAGAAGGTATTTTACGAGAGACAAAAATCTAAGCAACAAAAGGGAAAACCTCAGCTAAGAAAGAGTGGCAGTTTTAATTTAAAACAAATGTTGTTATTCATGCATTGTTGTGAGAATGAGTACAACTACCTGCCCTATGGCTTCAATGACTATCCTTAAAATAAATGTATGACCTATCATTTACTCCCAGCCAAACCATGGTGGTGTTAGATCACGCCTTTTAAGATGGTAGGAATACAAAATAAAATATTATTACATTTCATACTGGTATAGAGCTTTTCATCCTAAAGCTATCTCCTATTTTGCAAACTGACCCTAAACAGACCTCTTCAGCAGGGTAGGCCAGAATGGACCAGTTCAGTGAAAGAGAAGATGGAGGAGCAAGCTCCCTCTGCCTGCAGAAATACCTGGCAGTGCAGTGATGAAGTCCCGCTGTAGCATGGGTTTGAGGTATGAGTTTATATGTCCATGCTGGTAGTGACACATCTGGGAGATGAGGTGCTCCACAAACTCCACTTGGTCAGACTCAGACCACTGTTCAAAATACTTGACACAGAGTTCCTTCTCCTTCTCATAGCTTGCAGACAGTTTTCTTTGCTTGGGCACGATCATACTGGAAGTGCCATTGGCAAGTTTTGTCTGTAAACAGGAAGGAGAGAAACAACTCAAATCACACATATGAAAAGCAGCTCAAGCGGTTTTCTAATTTCTTTACGGGGAAGAAAATAGAAGGAAAAAAGCACTCTGATACATGAAGTTGGCTAAGACCACATATCCCATTTGGTGCTGTCAGTCGAAGTGCAGCCAGTATGAGCTGTAACCCTCCAGGACAATGCACGGGCTGCACCCAAGGGATTCTGGCTAGATGGGAAACCTTGAGTGTCAATTTAACATAAACACAATTTTATTTACATTGTGAAGACAGTAAAATGCATTTGGATTTCTAATCTACAATTACCAGTTACTTCAATGCACGAACAGAAGACTGTATTTGTATTCTTTTTTTTCCTGAAGAACAGACTGCTGCTAAAATTCATAGGGAATGCATGAAATGGGTGAGAAAAAAAACAGAGAAAAAGTATTTCTTTTGGGTATAAAATTATACCTTGAGAGCAAAGCCAGCTAAACCCCACCCTGGTATTTGGTACATACTTCTTTCACAGAACAGAAGATTTTCAACTTTCTGAGCACTGTTAATATCTTGTCAGAAGGACTCGGCTCAAAGAAGATTTTCAGGGACAAAACAAAACACTGACATTTCAATTTACTACTCAATAGCAAGATGTAATTTCTGCTTTCTAAACAATTTAACTGGAAGAAAAGTGCACATTTTGCATTGCAAGGGTATCCTTTGTCCAAGTAAGATTAACTGTTTGCTGGGAAATCACTTTTCCCCGTACTCGTCAAACAGTTGCTGAAAATGTGTGATTTTGTCTCTTTCATTGCAGTGGTTTAAGAGCAGACAGCACTATAGTAACAGTCAATATTATTACATGGGTTTTATTTACAAAATACATTTACAGCTTCTCTATTAATTATCAAATAATTAAAACCAAATTACAGATATTAGAATATACAAAACGTATCTGTTCTACGATGGTAATTCCAGTCATAAACCTCACCAGGAGACTTCCAGTAACTTTTAGGGAAAAAACAAGTACCTAAATGTCTCTGCAAGTCTATCTAATGACGTAGAAAGAATGCATGGATTAACTGATTTTACAGAAAATAAAAAACAACAAAAATGCCTGGTTTTCAGCAAGTGCCAAAACAGCAGGTTATTTAGAGACCACAAAATCTAGTTACCAAAACTGTGGTTGGAATGCAGGAATTTCTCATTTCTCAGGGATAAATAATTCCTACATTTGAACAGCCCACAACCCTGACAGCAATCCTTGGCTTGGAATGCCAAAAACCTCATAATTTGAAAATCTACTCAACTAATCACAATGCACATTTCATTTTCTAGAGAAAATCCATCTAAATACTCTTTTCAGCATTTCAGAGGCTGGAAATTTTCCTCTGGTAAAAAAGGCAACAATTAGCTGCAATTTTTAACAAGCAGTTTCTTCTATTTCGGAATTATGGTTTTACTGAAGTTTCTTTGAGAACATAGAACACGGAGATCACACCATCCCTGCTCAATTCTGTAGCTCAATGTATTCAGCTTTACTTTTACCCCTGCTCCTTCCTGTGAATTTCTGTGTGGGTTCAGTAAGATCATGCAAGTCAAGGGCTATGACTGAGCTACACTTTCCTCTAATCATCACATGGACAGCACTGACTGCAAGTCACAGAGACACTACTGGGTAGCAGGAAAGAAAGGCTCTCTTGGGCCAACTTTTTATAGAGAGAAATCTCTAGAGGGACTTCAGCATGAAGCCCTATGTGTGAAAGGCTGAACTTTTCCTAGCAAAGTCCACAGTAGGCAACAGCCTGGCAAAAAATGATTACCAATGGACTACAGTGAACATTGGTCATAAGGGATTCCAGTCATTTTGCTGCAGTGAAGCTGCCTGCAAAACAGACAACCCTGTAAAAATGCTGGATTAAGACAGTGGAGAGATGTATTCTACAAGCTTGATCTCATTTAATTTCTCATTTTGCTTGCTGTGCATCTCACTACAGGCTGTCACTACAAAGCATTTTTTGAAAACCTATACCTCTGCCTTTTAATTTGAGAGACTGTAAAGCCTGACTGATAATGCTGAGCTGGAGTGGAGTAGACAGCTGACATGCAAAGACCACAAAAGGGACAACTTCTTTCACACATTGGCACCATGTTTTGGCCTTTCCTTGCCTCCTGAGCACCCTTTTCCCAGCAGCCTTCAGCTCCCCAGTTTCCTCTAAAACATCACTTTAGGGTACCAAACAGAAGTAAAAACAAGTAATGGCTTATGTGTGCACAGAAGGCTTAGATGGGACAAAATCCGTTCTGCCTGGATCGCAACTGAATACAGGTCTCTTGGGCAGGAATAATGAATAAATTGAAGAGTCCATTGACCAGCACTTGTCACAGCTTTTGAAGTCAAACTCCAGATTTATTTAGTGGTTCTGCTAAGAAAAGCACTATACGTGTTATAGCGTTTATGTTCAAATTAGTGGACAGGGGAACTTTTAGGTTAATGCACCCTTGCCTGCTCTGGTTTCCCATTAAAAGGAGCAAGGACAAGCCCAGCGGTAGCCCCGCCGGTCCTGTGGTCAGGTCCTGTGGTCTATGCAGGCAGGGAACCAGGATAGGGCAAGCCGCGAACACACCAGTTCTGTGGAGCACAGACAGACTCACAGGGCTCCCAAATCACTCCATCGCCGTATGTGCTCACATGCCCCTGAAGACCACCTGCTGCTACAGTTTAGAACAGAATTCCAGAATTTCAATTTGGCAATTCCTGAAAATCCACTGGGGGTTCAGTGAAAAAGGCCCGTTATTAAAAAGCAACAACAAAGCAACAACATCAAGCATCTGTATTATTAAAGCGTTGGGGGGAGGGTGGTTACTATCAGTAAGAGGATCAATTTGGCTTCCTGATCACTCAACCATTCTGATCAACTGCCTCAAGTTCACAACAAACGACCTCAGAACAATAACAGCAACTATTTCCCGGAACACATCACTGTCTATGGCCTCTTCCCTCTCCTAGTACAATAACCAGGCCTCACTTCAAAAAGAAAGAACTGTCCTACATGCTTCCAAAATCCACAAAGAATAAGCACTGGCTGTCCATCACCTGGGAGGAAGTCTGGGTATGACAGAGCAAATGAGCAGCTCAGAACAGATAAAGCTTTTCTGATTCGCTTTTCACAAACCTCTGTGAGGCTTTGTGGTGTCCCAGCTGGCTCTAGGCAAACTGCAAGAACATTAGAGGTGTCCTCCTACCACAGTGTGCCAGAGCTAGTACACTGTGCCAGGAAACCCAGGGGACTGAGTGCCTCAGGTTGGTACTAGCTCAGGGATCTACGTTCTTATGCTCCACTGCAGCCCATAATTACAAGACCATTTCTCCAAATGGCTACATTTAACACAAAGCACATTTGTATGCCCAGTGAAGTAGAAGAGGACTAATATATGAGAGGACTTTAATCTAAATAATGGCTTGGAACTATAGGATGGTGCAATATTTCAACACAGATAAATAAAGCCTGGATAAATCTACTGCTCTACATATAAAACAAAACAGCCACAGTATATCACAGCTGTAACCCATATATGACAACCAAGGTTACTTTTGTTGTTCAGTCCAGGGGACCAAGTAGCCCCCTAAAGCACAGGAAAAAAAACAACAAAGATAAGCACAGTTCTCTGATTCTAGTCCAGGTATAGTATTTCCCCACCCATATGAGCAGTCACAACTATTATATATTCTTAAAAATCAATACCAGGTCCTCTAATCATCGCAGAGGACTTTGTTAAGGCACTTTCCACAGGGTGGATGAATTCAGATCGTATGTTTCTTATGTCTAAGAAGACATCTCTCAAAGTTGAAGGGAAGCTGTGTTCTAGAACAAGGGGTAGCTTAAATGATCTCAGCAAGGTTTGGGACCTTCTGAACCTTCAAGACATCTTCATGTTGGAGCTCTGAAAAGACTGAGAGCTTAGACTACCACTGCAAATTTCTCAGTTTCTCTCTATACAAGAAGAAGGGACTTCCCTTTGATGTTCCAGTACCCACAGGTCATACTGGGCTTATCCCCTCCTTGCTGGACTCACTGGGACTATAGACTCTGACACAGAGAAATGGCTTCTATTGCTTATCTGCAGCGACAGCATTTCACCTCCAGCTTGTATCACCAGTCGTGGTTAAGACTGATCTAGACAGAGCCACCTTAACAGCAATTTTGGATGGGTCTTAGTGAAGGGGAGGAAAAAAGAGGACATAATGTTTAATTATAAGAAATGATTGAAATAGGCACAGACATACCCCGGGTGCCTCTGCACTGCAGCAAGCTCTAAACTTGTTATCGTTAATGGTTTAAATTTCACTGTGCTAATCATTTCAGGACACAAGCCTTTCTTGATAATCTAATGAATTATTCCAACATCCTTCAGCAAAAAAAATCCTCCATGACAGCACTAATTACAAGACGTTTTCCCAGTGCTTATGTAAAATATGACAGAGCAGCAGCTTAGGGAATTGCAGAAAACTGCTTCTAATTTCCACTGAGAAACTGACAAACACCTCTCTTTCATCTCTCCCAGCTCTCAAGTAAGATTTAACTTTCTCATTTAGTTAATTACCGAGTGAGGATCATCATTTTCCCGGATCGGAGCGGCACAGAGCCTTTATCGTGTTAACTTGTGAACTTGATCGATGGCTGCTGCTAAAACTTAATAACTTCACCCCCTGGCAAATTGTAAGATAAATATAATAGGAGAAACTCTGACAGTAAAAACCTGCCAGAAATGAGCACTGTGTTTATGTTTCTTTGCAGGCAGCAAAAAAACAACCGACAGCTTATTACTGGGTGCGTGTTACTTATATTTAAAAGACTCCAGGCAGTTAACTTTCTGCGTACTGTTCAAACTTTACTCACAAGATAAAAGACACTGGGGAAAAAAAAACCAAGAAATGGGATGACAAAGAAAATAACCATGGAAGTGTATGTCCAGAGTGTGTGTGTGTGTGTGTGTGAGACGGGAA